AGTAATTGGTAGATGCGAAAAACATTACCACTGAAATCTACCTGATGACTTTATATCCATGCTCAGATACCAAGGAGCTCAGAAAGTAACCAACTGTGACTAGTAATAATCAGATATATAGAGATTAATGTTATATAACTGTATTAATTAAACTGTAAACCTAAAAACTTACAGCCAATTTTGAAAGAGATGCATCTTAGCTCAGGAAATTGTTATTGAATATGTCAGTGCTGTTGTAATGAAATGCTTCTTCTCAGTATGTTGTTGTTAAATAAATAATTAAAAAAAATAAAAGGAAGTTTGTTCTGGCTTGCCTCTAAAGGTGACATGCTTTGATAATATAAGGATTTGCTTAAAAACCCTGCAGCTTGGGCTCAGATATTTATCCACCCCACTCTTATGTGTTGTAGGTCCTTTGTCAATGAGAACATGCCTTTCTTTCTATAATTTAGGGAGTTCCAGGGCCTGGAAAATATGAACTTAAAAGTCAGTTTCAGAAGATAGAAAGTATGACAGTGAATGTAAATGATGCATCTTCCTTTTTTCTTTCTGAATCTGAGGTAATGGTCAAATAGCCATTTTCATATATAGACACATAATATGATATACTATAGTATGTATAATGCAAAGCCGGTAACAATCCAAAGGTGTTTAAAGGAGATTATAAAAGAAAAGTATTGTTGAGGAAATCAGAAATGGGAATGCATAGTCAGGACAAAGCTTTGCCAAAAATGTGTGGAAATAAGATCAGAATATTAACAATAATACATGGATTAGTATTTGAAATGGGACCATCTATTAAACATCTCCTATTAATCAAATTCACATAAGTGAACATTCAGGTTTGATGATAGGTAATACATATTTTGTCCTGAATTTTAAAATATCCCTTGCTAATGAGTGTATAGGCATTAAGTGTGACCCATGTGAGAACGTGTATCTCCTGAAGAAAGGTCTGAAGGTGTCCCATGCTACCTGGCCATCGGTCATGCCTGCAGCCACTACTGGACCTTCACTGGTGATGCTGCAGCAAAGCATCTATTCTACAGCAAGCATTTCACATCATACAAAGAACCTTCTGTGGAGACTTGAAGGTGTCCAGGGTATTTCTAAAGCAAAAAAATTAAGAGATTGGCAACCATTTATAATGAGGCAACCTCCAGACCAAGGTAGTTGTGAAATGTATCCACCTGTACTCTGTGCAGCTCTGATTATTTTATTTAACTTGGGAAAGTTATTAGCTTTCAGGTGACTATAGACAACTACTTTGGTTTCAATATACTTAAGAATATCTCCTTAGAGACAGGTAGATAGATTAAAGATGTATTTTATAGGTATAATTAAGATTACATTTTAATGAGTTAGATGTAGTGAGGGACTGAGAAGACTCAAGAGTGAACACTAGATTTCAGTCTTGAGTAACTTAATAGTACTTAAGGCACTGCACCAAATGGATACATAAAGGACAGGGCTGTGTGTGTGTGTGTGTGTGTGTGTGTGTGTGTGTGTGTGTGGCCTTGATTTTTAAAGCACAGTTTCTCAGCCAACGCTCCGAGTTTTGGGGCTATGCCCATTCACCCAATATGTAGCTCTAATTTTATATCATTTGGCACCAGTCATTTAAATTGTTTTTAGAAATGGAAAAGAAAATTTGTTTAAGGGGCTGATAGAGAAAGGAAGGATAATAATTTTGAGGTAAAAGACATGAAGGAGTTGAAACCAAACATAGCTGCCTGGTAGAGGTAGTGTGTGCAGTTGAAGATAAAGACATATCTTAATTACCATGTTGGAAAAAGATACAATCCAATTGACAAGGTAGCCTTAGGGGCCAGAATTTCTGCCATATATGAATAAGTACAGATATGTTTCTGGGACACTTTAGTCATGTTTTAGGAATTGTCTAGTATTTTATGTTAATACAATGAATCCTCTTATGTTTTCAAGTATTAATTTTGAAAACAGCATTTTTTTCAAGAATTCCAAGTCCTAGATGACCATTAGAAATATCTGTGGGATTTTTTTTTTTTGGTCTTTTTGAGACGGGGTCTCCCTGTAGCCCCAGCTGTCCTGGAACTCATTCTGTAGACGAGGCTGGCCTCAAACTCACAGAGATCTGCCTGCCTCTTCCTCCCTAGCACTGGAATTAAAGGCATGTACCACCATGACTGACTCACCTGTGGGATTTATCTATTAAATCCACTCACCTTCATATTTATCTGTTTTACAAAATGCAGAACATATTTGAAACACTGCATTTTGTGTAAGAAAGAAAGGAAAATAGTAAAACATACATACAACTGCTGAGCTTTATAAGAACACAATGCATTTAAATCAAAGAGCACTGACATTGGCTTGGTGGAGCTGGGAATGGTTCACCCTCTTGACCTTTCAAGAGACAAGGGTAGTTTTCAGGAGCTTTGCAAGTCAAATGATACTAGGTTGGTAGTGTGACATTATCTACCCTATGGCTATCATGGAAATCAGAAATTACCCTATGACTATCAATGGAAATCAGAAAATGTTACACATTCAGACTCCCCAAGTGGCAGGATCACACAGGGAGAGAAGGAAAATGGATGGCAGTAGTGCTTACTTGTACCTTTGTAAAGTATAATTTGGAAGCATGTCAGTGTTTCATATATTACAAAAATAAAACCATTGACAAGAATAGAAAGGGTTAAAAAGTTTTCTAAAACTAAAAGTAAATGGAAAAATAATCAACAATTATTCCTTTAATCACAGCGAAAGGGATTAATAAAAGAAATGTTCCAGGTAACAACAGTATTTGATTGCATCAGTCTTAGATGAAAATAGTATGAAAATTGAAAACAAATTCTGAATTATCTTTAGTACATTGGAATGGCATAGATGAAACAATTTTGAAACTACTTTAGCGATACACAGTTTTAAAGAAAAAATTGTTATTGTGGGCTAGAGTTTTCAATGTGGAGGAAGGTACTTACAGTTTAGATTAGGGGGTGTGGGAAAGGATCCTGTGGGATGATTTTTACTGAAGAGTTCAATATTGACCTATGATTTTAAATATATGTAGGAATATATGCATGCACACACAAATAATATGGTATATATGCTCATGTATATTTAGGGAGAAACAGTCTGCAGTCTCTTATTCTCTAAAACTTAGCCAGTTGTGGCCACACTACAGTGGAACTTCTATACCCAAAGCTCATGGAAAAGAGCAGAAGAGGGGGTAGAAAGAATACTAGTGTATCCCTCAGCTGTCACCGGCAAAGCTTCCTTATAGAACAGAGGGTATTCACACAGAAAGCCACAGCAGGCTCCTTCTTAAAAAATAAATTTAAAGACGGGCATGGTGGCACACGCCTTTAATCCCAACACTTGGGAGGCAGAGGCAGGCAGATCTCTGTGAGTTCAAGGCCAGCGTGGTCTACATAGTGAGTTCCAGGACAGCTGGGGCTACAGGGAGACCCTGTCTCAAAAAGACCAAAATAAATAAATCAGGCCTTTTGTTCAGGTCATTGTAATGTTGGCATTAGTAATGCCACAAGAAATAAACTCTAAATGTTGTACTTCTGACTAGGCAGCTTTAGACTCCTGAAGTATGGAAATGTATTCTAGTTTTTCACCTGGATATTTTCCTGTTCTTCACTAGAGGTTTGCAATGATAAAATCAACCACCCGAGCTCCTGGCACATATAATGAAATCCGAACTGCTCTCAAGCACTCAAAGAAAACATCAGGACTGAATTCTCCATTTGGTCAAAGTGCTGCCCGATTCACACAGGTCTCCAGTGCACAGGAAATGCCAGGTTTGCAATTAATCTGTGCATTTTACTTTAACTGTATGTAATAGCAAGATATGTGCATGACAGAGTTCAATTTTTAAAAATTCTCTGTTTGCTGATATCATTTAAACTAAAATTTTTAAAACGTATATTGCCCATGCTATAAACACAGCCAAATCAGTGAGAATGACTTACAGAGCTAATTTAATAGAATACACACGTGATACAAGCAAGTGCTCTTTCAAATGTCAGTCCTTTCAGTAATGGTTTTACTCCTCACTAGAACTGACTTTTCCTTAGGAAAGAAACTGAATTATAAAGAAGATTCTTAAATATTTGTTTTAAGTAGTTGTCTCAACAACTTAATCGGCACAGAAAATTGTTTATATTATTTTGAATGAAAAATATGTGAAACTTTATTCATTCAGACTTCCCCTGTAGAAAATAGTGCAAGTTATAATCATATACTGAAAGGAAGGCATTAAGAACTAAGTGCTGTGTCAAGAAGACTGGGTGGTAAGATTTTTTTTTTGTGTATATGTGTCAAATACATTTTAATATGGCTGCATCAACCTTCTTTTTAGCTTTGACATTTATTTATGCTCTACTGAGGTTTAGTTTACAGATAATAAAAATAATTTAAAATGTACAGCTTGATAGTGTTGAAACACATATCTGTCAGTTGTCATCCAAAGAGACCCAGGTGATATGCTGAGCAAAAAAAAAAAAAAAAAACCCACTTATTTGGGGTCTTACAATTGGAATTGAGGGAATACAGATCCTAGTAAAGATTAGGATACGTCCGATGGGAGTGGTGCTTAGAGAGCCCCTGTAAAGGTAAAAAGAAGTTTAGGTGAGTGACTCAGGCTGTGAAGAATTATGACTGAAGGAATAATTTGCTTCAATGTCTTATTGGTTCAGGATGCTGTCACTAAGGAAGGATTTAGCTGGCGCAGTTCCTAGGATGTTCATTCTCAGCACATACTTTCTGGGATGTCAGTGATCTTGGTGTGGTCACTACAGTTCAATATGGTGTCTGTGTTACAAATGGAATTGTGGCTGTTAACCTTTATTTCACATAGGCAACCACTTTTACTGTTGAGTTTTGGAATATTACCATCATTAAAAAAATTTCCCTCATGCCCATTGACATTAATCTCCATCCCACTCCAGTCCCCAAACTGTTCTAATCCTGTGATTTGACCTTTTCTAAAATTTCGTATAAATAGAATCATTCATCCTTCAAGATTTTGTGAGTGCCTCCTTAACATGATGTTTCTGATAGTTCATTCATTAACTTTATAAGTCTTTGATGAACTTTAAAAATTTATTTTTTATTTTTAAGTATGTGCATGAATGTTTAGCTATGTATGGGTACATACTCATGGGTATAGGCACCCATGGAGATCAGATGTGTTTGACCCTTGGAGCTGAGGTTGCAGACTATTGTAAGCTGTCTGATGTGGGTGCTGGAAACAACTCAGATCCTCGTGAAGAGCACTATGTGCTCTTAACCACAGAGCCATTCTCTAACCCCCAACATTTTTTAAAAAGTATATACAATTTTATTTATAAACCAGTAAGAAATATATGGGGTCTCTTTCTAAAAACTTTAATGTTACCAAGTTCAAAAAGCACTTTAAAAGCATGTTTATTGTTATGCATAATATTCTTTATAATTTTAGGTCCTGGTTTTTATGATATACTAAACAAAACTATAACTGCCAATGTTAAAAATACTTTCTTGAAGAAACAAAAGAAAATTGCATTTGGTTCTTCTGTCCCTTGAATTTTGGTTCCAATTCAGAAAGAAGTTTCTAGTAGTCCCGGGCCTTGTGAGTATCAGGTAAAATGTTAACAGCAAAATATTATTCTTTTTTAAAAAATATTTTATTTACTATTCTCATTTTATGTGCATGTGTGTACCGCCTGCGTGTAGGTAAGTGCATCCATGTCATGTCATGCAATGCCTGCAGAGGTCAGAAGAGGCTGTCGGATCCCCTGGGACGAGAGTTACAGACAATTGTTAGCTGCCATGTCAGTGCTGGGATTTGAACCCGGGTCTTCTGCAAGAACAACCAGTGTTCGTAACCACTGAGCCATCTCTCCAGCCCCAGCAAAATATTATTCTTTATGTATAATGCTTAAGTCATTAGAGTGCTCTAAGGATACATGTGATAATAGAATTAATAGATAAGTAAGATAAACTATTCCTATTATTCTGAGGGACAGTTGGGGATACTAACTTGACAGAATAGGCCTTAACACAAATGACAGAATGTATGAATTCCAGTGGGGTGGGGGCTATGGGAGGAGCAATGGGGAAGGAAGTATAAAGATGATTAAGATTGATTGAGATGTTCTTTATGAAACACGAAAATTCAATACAAAAAAATGCACAAAAGTAGAATTTTCATATTAAACAGTAGATAAATGACAGAAGAAACAATAAGTTATAAATTGAAATTACAGAGATGGCAAATAACATGCACTGAAGATGTGTCAAGGAAGAGTAATCAGGATGGTGAAGGTCCATAAATTCAAACCAAAATATAGAGATATTTATTACAGAACAGCTAAGGCTTAGGGAGAATTAGCCAGACAACTAGTTTTAAAATGGCAAATTTTCTAATAGGGAGACAGTTCTGTGTGGGTAGGCACACAGTCAGGGCTGTGGATGAGAGCATAGTTTGAGATTTTGGTTCAGTGGAGGTGGGAGTTAAGTTTTGATTTAGTACAGCTTTATGATGTATGAGTTTTTATATATAATTAAAATTTATATTAGTGTGCATTTGTTGTGTGTGACACTAGGTTACATATGGATACATTTTACATTTATTTATTTATTGTGTGCGTGTGTGTGTGTGTGTGTGTGTGTGTGTGTGTGTGTGTATGATGTACTTGACAGCAAGTGACTTTATCCACTGTGCCATCTTGGCCATATAATGACATTTTTGCACACACACACACGCACACACACACAAACATACACACACATATATGTACACACACACACACCCACACACACACACACACACATATATATATATATATATAAAAAAAAAAAGAAGATAGAAAACAATATGGTTAGGAATTTAAAGGTGGGAATTGTTATCTAAGTGCTTAATCTGATGACCTGTATTAATGATACACGAACTCTTTTTACATTTTATTATAAATAAAAGTGAATTTTAGGCATTGTGCTGGATAGTGTTAGTGTCAACTTGACACACCTGGGTTGAGGGAGCCTCAATTGGGGAATTGCCTCTATTGGACTGGCCTGTGGGGCATCTTGATGAGTGATGTGGGAGAGCCCAGCTCACTGTGGGTGGTGCCACCCCTGGGCAAATGTGCCTGTGTTGCATAAGAAAGCAGGCTGAGCTGGGGCCAGGGATCAAGTCAATAAGCAGAGTTCCTCCATGGCCTGTGCTCCAGCTCCTGACTCCAGGCTCCTGCCCAGAGTTCCTACCTTGGGCTCCCTGATGAACTGTGACCTGGGAGATGTAAGACAAATAAACCCTTTCCTCCCCAATTTGGTATTGGTCAGAGTAAGGAGAAACAAAGACAGGCATCAAGGCTTTTCAAGGTTCTAATTTTTATCAAAGCTTATTTTTCTTAGATATTTTTCTACACAAACACCCCCAAAGTTCCTTTTTTATGATTAAGATACAATTTCTCTGTATTTTATGCTTCTGCACATTTTTTTCTCCTTTTCAATAATGATTCTATATCAAAAGCAGCTTTCAAAGAACTATGCCTTCACCTCACACAGAGGACATGCTAGCTGCCGGTTATAAAAGATTTGTGTTCCTTATTCTCATGTTTTCTTCCACAAGAAAACCGTTGTGTACAGGAATGTATTTGTCCTGCCTTGTCTCCATCATGACCTGTGGATAAGGAAGACTTGCACATGCCTGCTGGCAGCACTGTGTGGCATGCCTTGAGCAACTACTTTTTGCATCTGGCTCAGGAGCCCTGTGCCTTTGTTACAGAGTTCAAGACCACTGGGAAAAGACCACTCAGACTCAAAAAGTTCTGAATCAGACAAATCTATTTAGCTGTCCAAGGATGGCACTCTCTGAGCCAATTTAGAAAATGCTGCCCTAATTGGGAGGGAATGGGAGCTTTTACAATTATTAGAATTTTAAACACAATCCTTAGGGCAGGTGAGCTACCTTCAGGAGGAAAATGGTGAGGAGAAAGAAAGAAAGCCATGAAGGCATGCAGGTTTAGAGCCCACATGGAGGTCAGACACATGGCTGACTGGCAGCCACATGGCTGGGAGAAGGAAGATTTAGAAAAAGTAAAGAAATACAAGGTGCTAGGGGCAGCCCAAAGCCTTAAAGAAAGCATGTTTAGAGAAGGAATATGGAGAATAAAAGGAGATTACACTTTTCAGAAGAATTCAGTAAAGTGGGAAGACTTACAGAGAGTTACATGTCTATGGGTCAGGAAGCTCTGCTCTAGGAGGCAGGATTCCAGGCAAGAAAAATTCACTATCATTAATGCACTAGGTATTCCACCCATCTATCTAGCATAACTTAAGGTGAACCTGCCTTCCTAGGGGCAGTCCTATGACCAGATGATTGACCAGTGGAACTGGAAAGGTGGGTCTTTCAATAGACTAGAGATTTTATAGTCTTGACCAGTTCAATTCATGGGGCTATTTGCTACTCTAACACCAGGATTATATGGGTGTGTTCCTCAGCTCTACCTGGAACTTCTGGTCCCAGGACAGAGTAGGGCCTGGACACTTATCAAGATGTCTTACACAAAATGGAGGAGCTAGGGCTATTACATCTTCTGTCAGCATCTGTGAATTTATGGCAATATTTGCTAACTTAAAGTAGGATAAAATCTGAGGCCCTGATAGCTATATTTGATTAATGTACAGACATTTCTATTTTATTATGTTTGTGTTTTCATAGCCCTCTGTAGTGCATCTGACAGAGTCTTTAAAGTAACAGTCTGACTTCTACCAGTTTACTTTCTATTAAATTCACCAATTTATTATTGAGATGCTTAATAAACAAGTTTAATACGCCTTTATATGCTCTAAAAGTCTTTGATTTTTTGATTGGCAGATTTTCTAGATTCCCAGACTTCATTTTAACTTTCTGTGATGAATACTCTTGTGTATCTCTTCCTAAAGAGTTTATACAGCTAAATATAAATATACCTTAATCATGATTATAAAAAGGACACTAAATCTATCCATGGTTTTAAGGGATGATATAAGTATATTTTGAGTCCATCATGAATTTTATTAGTTTTTAGAACATTTGTTGGACTTTGTGTAACATGTAGCAACATTTCATTATTATAAGTTGTGTCTTGTGTTTTTATTAGTGCTTCTCTTCAGAGTCGTGATGGCGCCTTTGATTATTCTCCAATAAAAAGAGTAAGTCTTACTACTTCTTCAGGTATCCTAACTTGGAATAGTTTAACTGCATTTTGCTGCCTTCTGTTTTTGTTTAATAATTGCCATGAATTCTCAATTTGTGTATTTTAAACTCTTGTGTACATTATTACTTTGTATCATCAGTATTTACTGCTATTTTATCATGTATTTATAATATGCTAATTTTTTCTGGAATTTTCTTCTGCTTCTCTCATACATGTTTGAGGAGTTTGTTGGGTTACTGAATTGAACATGGAGGCCAGAGGTTGATGCTGAGTGCCTTCCTTGACTACTTTTGACCTTATTTTTTGAGGCACTGTTTCTCACTTGAACATAGAGTTTGCTAATTCAGCTAGTCCAGCTCTCCAGCTTGCTCCAGTGATCTCCTATCCCTTTCCTGAGCAGTGAGATTATAGGAGGGTCACCATACGGGAGTGGGAGTGGGGTGGAGGGTGGGGGGGGTGGAGTGGGGGGGGGGGGGTGGAGGGGGGAGTGGGGAGTGTGGGGGTAGTGTGGGATGTCTCCAAACTCTCACTTTTCACCTGCTAAGCCAACTCCCCAGTTTCTATTCTGGGTCTTCTTAGCAGGTGGTCTGCTATTTGGTTTATGGTCCTGGCCACATTTTGGAGACATAAAGGAGGCATCAGTAACAACATCAATGACTTTACCAAAAATGTTTGTCAATGTTACAGTCTCACTGAAGGCCCATTAAGGGAAAGTTAGTTCTTTTGTCAAGAGAATGGAATCTCTGGCCTGGGTAGTCTTAGGGTTCAGATCCATAGCAGCCTTGCCCCCTCACCTACAGGGCCTCATGGGTTCTACAAGCCCCTGAGATAAGCACCCTGGTTTTTGAAGTCAAAAGCAGACTTTTCTCCACAGTTTGGTCAGCACAGCAGGCTTCCCCTTTGTTCTCAAAAGGGGGGCAGGTTTTAACAGTCCTGCTCTTTCACTCCCCCGCCAATCTTTAAAAAAAATCTTCCCACCTTCTGTATCCCCTGAAGCCTCCCCCTATTAAAGACGCCAGCTCACTACCTGTGGGTAAACATTTTTTCCCTCCCCTGAAGGGAACTTGTCCATGGGAAAGAAAATTCTATTCCACTGGAGTTTTATCTGTGTCCTGATGCTTTCTCCTGATCAACCGGATTCATCCATCGGCTACTTCATCTATCAGGTAGAGACCTGGCATTCTAGCTGGGCAGACAATCAGTCCTCTGGCTAAGGGACTACCCCTAAGGAGGGAGAATTCACCTTAAACCATGCTAAAGAAATGATTACCTCTTTTATGAGGAAATGTTCTTTGCCTTTCCAGAATCTCTGTTCTCTGTGCAGTTACTTAGCAAGCTACCACCATGCAGCTTTGTAGTCTGCCCACTTTTCTGAGTTCCTTTTTTTTCCTCTCTTTTTTTTTGGATGCTGGGTACATATGCTTTCTCTGTACTTTGGGCCTTTTCATTATTTTTCTGAAATCTTCCTCCCTGCGCTGTGTCTACCTGTTCGCAGTGTGGCTGCTTGTCCATAGATCAGAAAAAATTTCCCCTTTCTATTACCTTCATGGTTAGACTTTGGTTTTCTTTTTCTTTTTTTTTTTTTTTTTTCAGGAATTTGTGAGTCTCATTACCTATAGTTTATTGGCTCCCCCTCTACCAAACTATATTTGTATCCAAAAGAAGTCCTTAGCACTTCCCTATTTACTGGGACTGAATTGATCTTAGGGGAAGTCACTCATTTAATCCATCAAAGAGGGTGTCTTTGGGGTTTACAGATGTAAAACGCAGCATTGTTTGCTGTTCTCTGCCGAGAAGCTTAATTGTAAAGTCTCTCTTTGGATGGTTTCCTTCTGCTAAAGGACTGGCAATTTAGAGAAGCACAGAGAATCTCTTCTGTCATCTGCTTATTGCACCTTATGCAGATCTTCAGACTAAAACTTTGGTTTTTCAAAGCATTGATTGGTAGTCCTCTGAATCTTTTTTTTTTCTATAAAAAAATTTGGATACCAAATCCTGGCAAGGAGGTGGAGAAGGGAACACTTATTCATTGCGGCTGCAACTCTTATGGAAAGCAGTGAGAATTCTTAAAAAACTAAAAATGAACCTACCATATGTCTCAGTTATACCACTCCTTGGCATATACCCAAAGGACTCGTCCTGTTGTTGAGGCACTTGTACAACTGTGTTTGTTGCTGCTCTTTTGACAATAGCTAAGAGATGGAAGCAACCTAAGTGCCCTCTCAACTGACAAGTGGTTAACAAAAATGTGGTATATTTACACAGTGGAGTTCTATTCAGCAGTAAAGAAAGATGAAATAATGAAATTTGCAGGTAAATGGATGGATCTAGAAACTGTTATACCAACTGAAATAACACAGACTCAGAAAAACAAAAGACGTATGTTCTTTATTTGTAGATCTTAGCACCAAATTCTTATAAGTGAGTGCATATCCTGATACAACTGCAGGGATCAGGAATATGGAAGGGAAACAGGGAGGTAAGGGACCCAAGAGAGAGGACTAGTAGGATAAAAGTGTTACTAAAAGAGAAATATGTGAAAAAAAAAAGGGTAGTTAAAGGGGATGAGGGGAAGGAGGGTTATACAAGAACTATGGGAATAAAGGGGGAAAAATTTTCCAGATACACAGTTAAAAAAAAAAAAAAAAGCCTTAAGCACAGAAGGAACTCTATGGGGATGGAAGAAAGCCCTTTCAGAAGCAATTTCATTGTTAAATGAAAATCCCAGTGCCAGAGGTGGGTTGCCCTGTCATGAGCTGTTCGCTTGAGGGACCCTAGAGGCCCTCAAAACAATAAAGGCCATTGCCAATAATGTTGGTTGTACACCAGAAATGGATGGAAAAACCCTATTACTGAGGACACTGCATTTGAGTGCAGGAGAGGGAGAAATCAAGCTTGGACTAAGCTGGAAACGTCCTGCCACTGGATGGGTGGCTTTCATGTTGCCAAAAGGCGATATGAGGATGACTGGGGGAGAATTGTCCCCTATAATTCTGCTCAATGGGGAACCCTGTGTATTGCATTATCAACATACCAAACAAGATGTTCCTGCTTGTGCAATAGTGAAATGTCTAGTCCATATACAACCAGCAAATTTTTGATATAGATGAGGCCAACCCCCTGTGGCAGGGGAGGATATAGGCCCCAGTGGAAAGTGACAGCAATTGTTTTGTTAGATGGATGTGATGCACCCGCTAAAGTACTATCCAAGCATTTGTGTTTACACCCATAGGCTAAGATGTTATAGCAGCCACTGTTTAGATGCTTTTGCTCCTTACTGTTTGTATTTTTATAGTAGATGGAATCCCACTAAAATGGGCCAGCAGCCCATGGCAAACAGACAATGCAGAGACCTGAAAGTTCAGTGCCTTGCCACAATAGGGGGAAGGTCATCCCACACCTGCCACCCCCTCCAAGGCTCAGAGACTTTTGCAGAAGAGGTTGACAGAAAGAGTGTAAGAGCTGGAGGAAGGGGTGGAGTGTTAACTGGAAGTGTCCTCCGACCACTATGCCGGCAAGCTATAGTCACACATCCTTCCCACACTCATGAAGAAGTCAAGGGTGGAGTCAGTCACCCTTCCCACTCAATCAGTCGACCTTAGCTGCATGTGGGAGAGGGACTAAGGATATATAAGCTGAGAAGGATATGTGGTACCTCTTTCAACATTTTGTGCCGCTGTTGGGAAGTCGCAGGATCTATATTTGAGTGTGGACTTTTCAATGCAGCTGTAAATGGGGGTGGTGGTGGTGTGCCCATTCTTTTGTAAAGAAACCCTAGTTGGGATTTTCAGAAAAAGAAAAAAAACAGAGTGGATGGAAACCATCATTATTCCACCAATGTTGATCCCATGTTGGCAAATCCTTTTTTTTTTTTTTTTTTTTTTTTTGTTTTTTTTATTGAGACAGGGTCTCCTTGTGACCCCAGCAGGCCTGGAGCTCTCAGAGTGGACTGGGCTGGCCTTGAACACATAGAGATCTGTCAGGCTCTGCCTCCCAAGTGCTGGAAATGAGGATGTGTGCCACCATGCCCAGCTTTAGTCTTTGATTTCTTCTTCCTACTTTTCCACCCTTAAACTTCATTCTATATGTTTTTTTATGTAACCTGTGGTCTCCTTGTGACCCCAGCAGGCCTGGAGCTCTCAGAGTGGACTGGGCTGGCCTTGAACACATAGAGATCTGTCAGGCTCTGCCTCCCAAGTGCTGGAAATGAGGATGTGTGCCACCATGCCCAGCTTTAGTCTTTGATTTCTTCTTCCTACTTTTCCACCCTTAAACTTCATTCTATATGTTTTTTTATGTAACCTGTTTCAAGTTATTTCTGGAAAAATGTTAAAAATTGTCTCTGGAATAATACAAATAGTCTTTAAAAAAAAGTTGGTGCCTAACATCTTTAATTCCAGCACTTAGGAGGCAGAGGCAGGCAAATAGCTGTGAGTTCAAGGCCATCCTGGTCTACATAGTGAGTTCTAGGCCAGCTGGCACTACAGGGAGACCATGTCCCCCCAAAAATTATTCTTTGAAAATTTCTGACACATGTCTAGTGTACCCTGGTCATATCCATCATCAACTCCCTCAGTCTAGCTCCCCTTGGATCCTATCCTCAACATATTTCCCTCCCAACTTCATGACCTTTTTTTAAAATTTAAATTTTTAATTATTTTATTTTATTTTACTTTTTACTTCACTTTAATTTAATTTAATTCAATTTAATTTATTTTATTTTTGGTCTTTTTGAGGCAGGGTCTCCTTGTAGCCCCAGCTTGCCTGGAACTCACTATGTAGATCAGGCTGGCCTTGAACTCTGCCTGGGATTAAAGGCATGAGCCATCACACCTGCCTTTTATTATTATTTTTTTAACAGAGCATAGGATAGTGGTTTATTTACAGAAGAGTGGGTGCCCCACATTTACAGCTGCAACATAAAGCCCACACTCAAATACAGATCCTGTGACCTCCTGACAGCCACACAAAATTGTAAGAGAAGTGCCTTTTGGTGTTCTTGGCTTATATATCCTTTGCCCCCACCCCCCAGGCAGCTAAGGTCATCTTATTGGGTGGGAATGGTAACTGACTCCTCCCTTGACTCCTTGATGAGCTTGGGAAGGAGGTGTGCCTATAGCTTGCCAGCATAGTGGTTGGAGGACATTTGCAGTTAACACTCCACCCTCTCCTCCAGCTCTTACATTTGTTCTGCCAATCCCTTCCACAAAACTTCCTGAACCTTGAAGGGGGTGGTAGGTGTGGAAACTAGAACATTATCTTTCACCTTGCACAAGAGTCAACTCCAAAGGGATCAAAGACCTCAATGTGAAACTAGAAACCCCTGAAACTATTAGGAGAAAACACTGGCAGTAACTTACAAGATATAGGTGTAGGAAAGGATTTTCTAAATCGGAGAGCGGTTGCTCAGGAATTAAGGCCAGCAATCAACATGGGAATTATTAAACTAAAAAGCTTCTGTATAGCAAAAGAAACAATCAAAAAAGGAAGACAAAACCCACAGAACGGGACAAAATCTTCACCAGTGACACATCTGACAGAGGTTTAACATCCAGAATACATAAAGAACTCAAAAGACAATGAGG